GCTGGAGCGATCGCTTAGCGATGTCCTCTATGGCTAAAATTCGCTTTGGAGATTTTCCAAAGTGATGGAGCCACCATCTTCTGGTGGAAACACTCCTTGCTCTCTCAGGGTGGCCCACCTGGTTCTTCTCAGCATCAAGGCCTGGAAAGACCTGGTGGAAAGAGCAGGATTTCTCTGGGAGGCATGCTCTGGTGTTGCAGAGGGAGCTACAAAGAATACATATGTTATGGGGCACAGAAAAAATAGGAAGGTGGGTTAACGAAGGGTCCTGAGGAGGCCTCTGGCAGTGCAAACAGCATGGGCTTTCCCCCTGTTTAATGTAGCAAAGTGGAGCCTCTAAATGAGTGTCACTGCGGTTCTGATCTGGATTATGTTCTCTCCTCCAGCATAGCCAAAATCATTTGCCTGTGTCAAGTGTGATATCATTGATAATGAGGCAAAGTGGACTTCAGAATTGGAGTAAAAGCTTCTTGTTTTACCCGAGAGGTCCAGGATTTATCCCATGGAGCCAGGTGCAATCAGAATTACAAAAAACAAAACCCAGGATGTCATCTGAAAGACGTAACACGTTTAATTGGGTATAACGTTTTATGAACTGTAACCCACTGGATCAGATGCAGCTGTGGAAGCAGGCCTGAGTCCATGAAAGCTTAGGCCAAATGAAATTTGGTAGTCTTCGAGGTGTCGCAAAACTCTTGTCGGAATTTTAAAAAGATGAAACAATGTCCACTCACGTCCCCCTGAGCATCTGCTGAGCATCAGAGTCAAGCTGAGCTCATGGGTCTCCCACTCAAAAATGTACTGCTTGTTGTCCAAAGCTTTCTTCATTTCCACAGTATAGTTTAAGGGTGGGGCATTGTTGGGTCATTGCTGCAGTTATTAAGACATTGGCTGAAATCCCATTTCACGGCTTTGCAAGGAGCATAACTCTTGGAATTACTTCCAGAAGTTAAGAAATCTCTGCAGGTATTCGTAGAATCCTTGAATAATGGAGCTGGTTGGGGCCAATAAGGCCATTGAGTCCAACCCCCTGCTCAGTGTGGGAATCTAAATCCAAGCAGATCGGACAGAGCATTGTCCAGTTTTCCCTTGAATCCCTACAGCGTTGGAGCGCTCACCACCTCCTGAGGTCATGGGTTCCATTGTCATACTGCTCTAACAGTTAAGAATGCTTCCTTGATATTAAGCCGAAATCTGGCTTCCTGGAGCTTGAGCCCATTGTTGTGTGTCCTGCAGTCAGGGATGCTTGAGAACAGATCCTGACCCTCCTCTGTATTACCATTCAAGCACTTGAAAAGTGCTATCTTATCTCTTCCCAGTAGTCTTTTCTCATGGCGAAACATGCCCAGTTCTTCCAGTCTTCCCCTTATTTGTTGCACGCTGAGTTGTGCCACCCAGCATCCAAAGAATAATGTCTATGGAGATTCCTTAACTTACAACAATTTGCTTCTAAAAGTTATGCCATTTATTTAAACCCACAGCTACCTTTCGGCCATTGTGAGTCAAAATCCTTTCTCATCTACCGTTTGTCATCTAGAGATGCACTGGTAGATCTGGATCAAACCTCTGCCGCCCATTCTTGGTCTATGGCATAGGTTCCCAAACTTTTTTGCCCTGTAGACCACTTGCCAACTTATTTGTTTTCCGTTGACCCCCTGCCTACCTAATATCGCATTTTCCTGAACCTATTAATGTGTTCAAACGTGTTTTAAGGGTTTAAGTACGTACATGCGCGATGTGTGTGCCTGTATAGCTCAGTAATGAGAAATGACAAAATGTCGTCAATCCTATTTACAACACACTGATGATAGGATTAGTTTTCAGGAGCCCTTTACCAATAATTTTACGAACTTATACATAAATGTAGCATACCACAATACAGATAGTACATAGTACCTAATTAAATAATATTATGAAATATTATGTACACAGAATCTGTGTTTGGTGTAATTACGGATTGCCTAAATATTTATTATGATCTGCCTAATGGGATCTACTCACGTAGACCCCCATTTACATCTCGTGCACCCCCAATTTTCTCTCTCTCTGACATGGAGCCCCTGCAAGTCAAAATCAACCCCTGGGGGTGCATATACACCACTTTGGGAACCTATGGTCTCTGGATATGCAATCCTTCTTCTTGAGATGATTACATGTCAAGAAGTAGAGCAAGGCAGTTAGACATCTTGGTCTACTGTGCCATGCTGTCCAGGAGAGTCTGACTGTAGATCCTTGGGACCAAAGGGGGAGAAAATTCCTTTTATTTTTAACTGCAAGTGCCCGAATGAATGCCCCCTCCCTCTCACATGGCCAGCGTGATCCAAACCCCCAGAAAGGGATGAGGTAGTGCTTCATTGGCACCTTTAAAACTTGGCTGCCCCTCAGATGGTTTATTCTGTTGCAGGGGGAAGGAAGCCAAGGAGAGTCCCGTCCATTCCCATTCTTTCCACTGCGCTGCTTCCAGAGAGCAGGTCCCCAGTGGCACAGTCGCCGGGACCATTGGCGAGGGATGGCAGAGAGGGTCTTTGTCTTCTCTTTCCCCTCCTCAGGTTCCAGACGGCTCGTCTTCAGCCTGCTCGGATTCAGTGTCTAGCCTAGATCTTTTGTTTAATCATGTATTGGCTAGATTACAGGGGCGCTAGCGAGAGCCACCAGTGGGTTCGGCTGTGACACAGCAGCATGACTCAGATCGACAGGTGATGATGATAGGATTAGTTTTCAGGAGCCCTTTGATTGATTGATTTGATTTGATTTGATTTGATTTGATTTGATTTGATTTATATCCCGCCCATCTGGTCTGGTCGACCACTCTGGGCGGCTTCCAATAAGGTGTATACGATAAAACATAAGAATTTTACAAACAGTCCATAACACATACAATAATAAAACAAATAATAAATGAAAGAAAAAATAAAGAAAGAATTAAGTATTGACAGGAGGGAATGCCTGAACATACAACCATGTTTTTAGTTGACTCTTAAAAGTGCCCAGCGTAGGGGCCGCACGAATAACCGGAGGAAGGTTATTCCAGAGGCGAGGAGCCACCGCCGAGAAGGCCCGGTTT